AGGGTGCCTGATCGTCAAGATCCCCGAGCCTCTGACATTTGCCAACACCGGCAACCTGAAGACCCGTCTGCGTCGCCTCGAGGACCATGGTACGGAGAACGCGCACCCTGCTCTACCGCGCGTTCGCCGTGCAGAACACAACAAGAACGTCATCTTTGATGTTCACGGTGTCACATCGCTCGATGGTGCTGGCGCCCAGGTCCTGGCTGAGATTGTAGAGTCTTACAGGAAGCGGGATGTCAGAGTCTTTTTCTGCAGGGTGCCGCAAGAATCCAGTCCCGTCTACCAGCTATTCGACAAGAGCGGTATTATCGAGATGTGTGGAGGTCCAAGACACTTTGTCCAGAGTGTCGAGGAGGCGCTTCGCATGACCGAACTGGAGCGACTCACGGAAGAATGGGCAAGCTCAGCGGAGAGCTCCCGGGCTGTCTCAAGCAGAGCTTGAGTCACTGCAACGACGCATGTAACCTTTTGGCCTATTCGCAACGAACAAGAGTTCGCGAGCATTGCATTACGGAATTGGCGTGTATGAGCGTTTTACTGCGATTAGACTTCTTGTATCTTCCTTTCAGCTTTGGGCAACGAACTGCAGTCTCGGTATCAATATGAAAAGCATGATCATTTTCCGGTTTCCCGTGTCAGAACCTCTGACTGTTTGGAAGTCTGCCAGGCGTCCAGCAACTATGTCGAGCGACGACCCGGTCGCGAACATCGGAGCTAGATCTGCCCCCAGAGCGTCGGCCGCGTATGGTATCCTGCAACCGGTGTCTAGCCCCAACGCCTATTTTCTGGTTCCCATTTCCAATCACATTTGAGATGATGCAATTGTTAGATGCGCTCTTATGCAGGGCTGCTTCAATCTCGCAGTCACAATCAATGCTGTCGTGACTAAGATTCGAGAATGCCGTGTTCAGAGATCCCCAGATGCGGGGATAAGCCGGTGGACGCGCTACCCTTGGGACAGCACCGCGTCTGCACTCCACTTTGGAACATCCTCACGACCCAACACCGGTACGCATTATGAGCTAGAACCAGCTCGCGAGACCAACTTCCACAACCAGCATCAACAATCAGTGTCGTATCAAGTGCGAGCCCGCAGCCCTGACTTATCTCCAATAGTCCGCGGATGTCTGAGTGCAGCGCATTCAGACCGTTGGCGCCCCAAGCCTTTGACGTCGACCAAGCTTTTCGGCGTCTTTCAACAAAGCTTCGCTGTGCCGTCTTTTCCAAGCCAAGCGACGCTTATGACCTCTTGACCACTCTTAGCACGCAGTAGCCCCTGTCGTGTGCTCCATCCCATGTCGCCTGCTAGCCAACTCTGGTCTATCGTACCGCCCTCCGCGGGGGTGCCATTGGATGGCAGGTCAACATGCGGGGTTGCGGGGACGTCATGAGGATGTCGAAGATGCATGCTCGGGTCGCACTGGTTATCTGTGATATCGTTTCCGGAAGGTTCAACGATGATCGCGTGCATGTCTAGTGGGATTAAAGAAAGCGTCGCGCCCACGGTGTCTTATAAGCTCTTGTAAGCTCAACAGTCTGTCGATCTCGTTCGGAGAAAGAAGACTGCACTTCCCCTTACGCTTCGCGTTCTGAAGTTGCCCGCGGGTTGTCCTCGATTCATAATGGCGGACGAGAAATACGATACTACCGAGCAGCGCGAGTTCGCGCCACCGGCCGCAAAGATGTCGGCTGGTCGCTACATGGCAACGCGCATCCCCACTCTCAAGCCTGCCCACGACAAGGTCGCCAACCCCATCGCGCTCCTGCGTATGCTGAATCTCCAGCAATGGCTCTTCTTCCTCGTCGCTTTTGTCGCCTGGACCTGGGACGCGTTCGACTTCTTCACCGTCTCCCTTACCGTGGAAAATCTTGCCGAAACCTTCGGTAAAACCAAGGCGGATATCACATGGGGTATTACATTGGTTCTCATGCTGCGAAGTGTGGGTAGTATCATCTTCGGTCTGGCGGCTGATCGGTACGGAAGAAAGTGGCCTTTCATCATCAACAACCTACTCTTCATTGTGTTGGAGCTAGGCACAGGTTTCTGCTCGACCTACAACGAGTTCTTGGGAGTGAGGGCTTTGTTCGGTATCGCCATGGGTGGACTGTACGGAAATGCTGCTGCCACTGGTAAGTCTTCCTTTCCACCCCCGCATCATGCAGATAGCTGACACTGTCACAGCCCTTGAAGACTGCCCCGAGCAGGCCCGTGGTATCATCTCCGGTATGCTACAACAAGGCTACGCTTTCGGTTACCTACTAGCCACCGTCTTTGCACGCGCGTTCGTCAACACTGTCGGTCACGAATGGCGACCGCTGTTCTGGTTTGGTGCAGGCCCACCAGTCCTGTTCATCATCTTCCGTCTCTGCCTCCCAGAAACGAACGCTTACCTCGAGCGTAAGCGAATACGCGAAGAACAACCCAACGCCGCCAAGGTTTTTGCTCAGGAAGGCAAGGTTGCGTTAAAGCGTCACTGGCTCTTGTTGGTGTATCTTGTCTTGCTCATGGCGGGCTTCAACTTCATGTCGCACGGAAGCCAAGACCTATACCCGACCATGCTGAGTAACCAGTACAACTTCTCCTCCAACCAGGTCACAGTCACACAAGTCGTCGCCAACCTTGGCGCCATGACCGGTGGTACCGTCGTCGGCTATTGCTCATCCATTTTCGGTCGCCGTATCAGCATCGTCGTCATGTGCGTTATCGGCGGCGCTCTACTCTATCCCTACACGTTCGTCTCCACCAACGCAGTCATCGCCGCAGCTTTCTTCCAACAGTTCTGCGTCCAGGGTGCGTGGGGTGTCATCCCAATCCACCTTATGGAGCTCTCACCAGGATCATTCCGCACCTTTGTCGTCGGTACATCTTATCAACTCGGAAACCTTGCTTCTTCTGCCTCATCAACTATCGAAGCGACTATTGGCGAGAGGTTTCCACTTCCACCGAAAGGCAAGACAACCCGTTACAAGTACGGGCTAGTGATCTGCATTTTCATGGGATGCGTGTATGCATACGTTATCCTTCTCACAGCTCTGGGACCAGAGTATCGAGGTAGAAGCTTCGATGTGGCTGCCGACGAGGATATGAATGTTGTGACTGGTGCAGATGATGGCAAGTACGGTGCGAGACACGATAGTGAGGACGCGGAGGCGAGAGAGCGTGTATAGAAGTCGCGTACCGAGGGACACTTACCATGTAGCTATCTCTAGTCTTTCCCATAGAGCAAAAATAGTACATGATGCTTCTAGACTTTATCTCCAGCATGCAAATGTTGAGCTCTCACCGTGAGGGTTGGCGGTGTTCGACATCCGGAGTTGGCAACCGCCTTGTCTTTGAGGCTGTGTCTACCCGATGTGGAGAGACAGGCCAGAAATCTGTACTCGTGTGATCGCATCTCGTAAATTGTATATTGCCTGATCCATGGCGTTGACGTAGGCAATTTAGACATTTCAAGCAAGCTCGGTGCTGCCATTGGCCACAATTAAAATCGGCAGCGGCATCCGTCGCTAGCGTTGTACGACTGGTAGCCGCCTTCCACCCCAAATAGATTGTCTTCATCACTCGTAATCTATGCAACACTCACATCGTCTTGTACACCTTCGCTTACAACCAATTCGCGCTCAAGGTTCGGGTCTTTCGCGATGGGTACGGCTCTTTCGACCTTATTGCCGGTGGGTGTCTCGTAACGAATGCGCCAGCCTGGGGCAAGAGACAAAGTATATATGTCGCTCGGGAGATGTTGATATGCCGGCACCAACTGCATATTCATTGCATCTCATCTCCAGGTTCAGCCAAAGATCCCCGCCAAGATGAAGTCTTCCGTTATTTTGCTAGCAGCTACTGCGTCTGTCGCCAGCGCTCACTGTACGTCCCGATGCACTGCACACCACCCAAGAAAGCAAGCTGACCTCTCAAAGACACACTTCCAAGCATCAACGGTGCCGCAGCCTGGACTAGCGTCCGTCAAGCCAAGAACTGGCAGGACAATGGATTCGTCGGCAACGTGCAAAGCAACGACATCCGCTGCAACCAACTCAGGGCAGGTACAGCGACTACTACTGTTGCTGCTGGCTCGAACGTAAAGGTCAGCGTCAACCCGAACGCTTACCACCCCGGTCCCTTCCAGTCGTACCTTGCCAAAGTACCAGAGGGCGCAGACATCAACACCTGGGACCCAACCGGCGCCGTCTGGTTCCGAATCTACGCCGAACAGCCCAAGTTCGGTTCCCAGTTGACCTGGCTGAGTATGTTTCTCACAACGCTCTTACCCTGCTAGCATATACTAACATTTTTTCGCGCAGGCGCTGCCACCTACGACATCAAAATCCCTCAGTGCATTGCGCCTGGAAAGTATCTGATGCGCAACGAGCACATCGCCATTCACACTGCTCAGAGTGTCGGTGGAGCCCAGTTTTATCTGTCTTGCGCACAAATTGAGGTTACTGGCGGCGGCAGCAAGGCGCCATCGAACCTTGTCGCGTTCCCTGGCGCGTACAAGGCTACCGACCCGGGTATCCAGATCAACATCAACTACCCTATCCCTACAAGCTACACCAACCCCGGCCCGCCTACCTTCACATGCTAGATGCAAAGGGTTTGCGCTAGAGGCTTATATGCTTGCGTGGAGCAAAGCTTGAAAGCTACGTCGCTGTAGATGTAAATAGGTGTTTCATAGACAAGATCAGTTTGCGAACATTACAAGGTGCATAGAGTTCACCTTTTGATGAACCAAGGAGACTTTCACTGTGGCAAAACGGCTTACACAGATGAGATACTGATGTGTTGACTTCTGTCTTTCCATTCTCAATACCCTTGAAATTGACCACCAAGATCAACTTACTACTGAAGTAACAGAGTCGTGGGTACCTCCTAGCATGACACCAACCGACTGTTCATCTTCGACTCCGATCGAGAGTCTCGCTTACACCGGTACCTCCAAATCCAACCATACACCTAATCTACGCTCCATCCGAGAGGCCAAAACTTCCCATCCACCTCAAATAGCATGATAGCGCTCAGAAAGCTTCTCTGCATCATACATCTTCGCAGTCGCCCTCTCCAACTCATCCGCGACATACTTCCAAAAGTTGCGCTCACACTTCGCCACCGCATCCATAAGCTGCTCCGTCATCTGCGGCGTCTCCAGATCATTCTCGTGTACCTCTGAGGGAACGGCATGGCGCAAGTTGTCCTTGAGCTCCGTCGCGTTGTTGAAGTCCTTGATGCGCTTCTTGCCCGCCTTGCTAAGAACACCTGTTCCTTCGGCGTTGGAGTACTGGTTTGGGTTGCGCAGGTGCATGTAGTCCTTTGGGTCGAAGCCGATCTCGCCGACGGAGGTGGCAATGCGGGGCGCGTTGCGGACGAAGCGGCTGTAGACTGCGGCGTCGGTGAAGGTTGCCGGTTCGCCTTTGGAGAGGCGCTCTTTGTTGAGGTGGCTGGCGATTTCGCTCCAGAGGAGCTTTTGATCTTGGCGGAGGGTCTTGATGAGGATGTTATCGGGGTCCTCTTCGACGCTGGGGCGGGTGCTGGTCTTCTTGTCCTGAGGCATGAGTACGGAGATGTTGTTCTCGACCTCCGCCTTGGTGGCTTTGGCGCGCTTGAGTCCGTCCATGACGCGATAGTTGTATGGGCCTTGGGTTCTCAGGCGATTGAGAAATGTACTTTCTTGGGCAGGAAAGGCGTGGTCAGAACCTTCTCCGTCTTCAGGTTCAAACAATGGAGATTCCGCTCGGTTACTGGTTGGCGCGACTGAGGGATGGAGCGTTTGGGAAGAAGGGGATTGATAGCTGCCTGAGAAGTATAAGTACTAATCAGTATGACTGTATCTTACTAGACTCACTTGGGCTCTCGGTGGCGGTGCTCAGGTGAGAGAGTGGGCCACTGGCGCTCGTGATCTTTTTGCCCCGTGCAGTCTTGATCGTTCCTATCTTCACTCCGTCCTTTTTGAATCGCTTCTTACCGCTGCGAAACATCGTGTCTTCCCCAGCAGCGTCAAAGAAGAACACATCATCCCCCCTTTCTTCGCCCGAGAAGCCGATGTCCGGTATAATGACTTGGTCATCTTCAGCCATATCGCTCGCGCTGGCAGGAGACGCTGACAGCCTGAGAAAGTGAGCTTGTTATCATCGGCTCTAGAAGACTTGATTACGCCCAATGCTATGCTCAACGCAAAGGGCTACGATGGACCATTAGACGGCAACAGTGATCGTGATCACGCGCGCTGCCGGCGACGATAGCCTAAACACCTTCAAAACAACTTACTGAGTACTTTCTTCAACAAGGTCCATGCTGTGTTTGATATTGAACAACAAATGAACTTGCGTTCTTTCGTACGGTATAGAATACTGGAGACAGTGAGGAAGAAAGCAACAGGGCTAATGTATTTAGTACTGCATTGAGTCTCACGGAAATACCTGATGTAAACTGGATGCAATACTGCAGCCTAAGGCACGTACCTCGCGCGTCGCAAACGGTGTGCGAGAAATGCCTGGAACGCGAGGGGCCCCCAGTGAATATGGCCATGATCATCACGCCATGAAGTAGCGGGGTCTCTTACAAGCTAAGCGTCTGTAGTCAATGATAGGCCAGGAGAAGAGCATGCTTGGAAAAGAATTATCAAGTCTCGTGTGCAAACGCTTAGTGTTTGCAATCAGGATGGTGTTGGTGCGTCTAGATCTAAATTCCGGATTGAGACTCAGCATATTGCGAAGGTCCCATAGTGCGGAAAAAGCCGAAGAGACCTCTGCGTGATATGCCAAGGTGAGCAGAGTGAGCAGAACCATGTCGGAAAAGATCAGGAGATAGCTCATCGAGTATGTGTCGTGTTTCAACACTGGGAATTCAGGTCGTAGCGTTGCGGATAAGATATGTTATAATTTATACTATGTGTTGCACAGCGTTTCGTGCATTACAAGGCCTCGATGCGGCCAGACGAGTCGTGAAGTGGTCGTACGGAATTTGAGATCAGTTGAGTACCTTCCTACTTGTGTATCGCGCAGAAGACTAAAGCTTCGGCCCTGTTCAATTCACCTTGCGCAGTGTCGGTTGGTGATTCCGTCTTTCTCGTCTCACGAGTATCTTTTGACTGCTTAGGAGGAAGCAGAGATCGAAGAAGAGACTTGGTAGATGCAATCGTTGACCCTGACTTTGTTGATTCGGCGTCCAATTCCAATTGTTTGCAGGAGTCAGGTCTATCGGTGGCCGACATGGTTTAAGAGCTTTCGTGGAAGAGCTTGCTTTCGATGTGTAGATGAACTCTGGATGACGGTGGCAACGGGTCGTATGTGGACGCTTGCTTATTGTTAAATAGATACGTAGGGGCGCTTGCTTGGTCTCACACATCTTGCTTCATCGCTTAAAATGAAACGCAACCTATAGTAGTATTATCATCAACCCATCGCTAAGTCAATACCCTATACAGCATACCTAGGTAGATACACGGTTTGCGAGAGTCGACTTGTGAGCTCTCATCAGCAAGCCGACCAAACGGTGAGTTTGTGCGCACGACAATCTTTGTGAGTACGCGAAGAGACATACAGCTCTACAGCCGAAGGGTGCAATACTCGTTGTTATTGCAAAGATTCATGGCCAGAAGCGTGTGCGTGTCGAATGTTGATGTAGTAATGACGAAAGGGGTCTAGTGCCTTCCGTATTGGCCGCACGCCCCGCGTCTGGGAAGTTTGTCAATCATCACACGTCATGCGCGCACGCGTGTCCGGACCCCAACACGCGCACTGGTAGATCTCACAGTCACCATCTTCACGCCTGATCATACGATGCCGATCTTGATGACGATTTCGGCAGATCTAGGTCACACAATCGCGCGCCCGCCAACACATCCTCGCGACTTTGACAAACGCACAATAATTCATCGCCATCACATGTCAACACGATTGTGGACTCTTTACTCAACAAAAGAGCTCATTTTTATATTTACAGCTAACTTGAGAACTCACTACCTACGCATTCCAACGGCGCATGGTGGAGTTTGAACCAGCGAATGTGGATCCAATCTCACCCCACTTGATCTGGCTGAAGGTGACTGTAGGTGCCTTCTCAATCTGTTGGATCGCCTTAGGGAAGCCTTCAGTCGCATTGCATGGACCGGATCCGGACTCTGAGCCGTCAAGCCACTGCATGGCACCGCTCTCATCCCACCAGATGCTCAGCGCGAGAACCATACCGCGGGCCAGAGCATCACCCATGCCCTTGTGGCCACCAAGCTTGCTGTACATCTCAGCGCCAGCTTGAGCACTGCAGAACTCCTGGTCCATAATGATCTCCTTCCTGGCGTTCTCAATAACGACGCCATCCTGGACGTACTTGCGGACAATGGCCTGGAGGACGCCGTCCTTGGCAGGGAACTGGGTGATGACGGTGAATGGCTTCGTGGTGTCGACTTTGAGGCCAGTACCGTAGTAGTCGGGAGAGCTTCGGTGCTTGTAGGGGTTGTCTCCGCATCCGTTCTTGTCGCACAATCCAGCTTTGCCGCACTCATCGCCTGTGCAGCCAAAGAGGCCATCCGTGCTGCAGGTGTGAGGCGCGATCTGGTTGGAGCGAGCGTTTGCCTCCCAGATATCCATTTCGTTGCAGCAAACACCCTGACCCTTGACGTTTCCCTGGAACGAGTAAGCATGAGTACTTAGAGAGAAGACAGCTTGTACTTACTACACCGTTGATCCACGGTGTGACGAAGCACTGAGCATCACAGTATCCCGTGCCATAGGCGGCACCACCTGGGTTCAGTTGAGAACGTCCACCATCAGCCTCCATCTCGCTGAGGTAAAGGGCGCCGTTCATGCCGCATGGCAGCTTCGATACGTCGACGTCGAAAGCCAGCTCGTTACCGGTCAGTTGAAGCATCTCGTAGTTCTCCTCGTCCTCGGCCAAGAGGTAGACCCTAGGGCTAGCTTGGCCGCCACTGGGGTTGAACATGTCCAGACGAAGCTCGCCTCCGGTAGTGTAGACACCCATTGTGGAATAGTCTTCGATGCCTTCCATGATGCAGTTCTTCGCACATGTTTCCTCATCAGGGCACGCAACCGGATCGGCTGCACTACCCCAGTTTCCGCAGCCGAGTGTTGAGTTACCCTTTTGATGGATATTATGGGAAGCTGAGTCGGTGACAATAGCGGTGCTCTGCTCTTTGCATCCTCCCGCTTTGGTGCACTTCCAGGTGGTGAGCTTGGGGTGCACTTCTGGGGTGTTGCCTGGCGTTTGGGCAGCAGCAAGACCTAGAAGGGTCGCCGCGATAAGGGTGTAAGGAGCCATGGTATAACGATTGACTAGGCGTGAACTTGAAAGGAAGGACTTGCAGGGCTTGGAGAGGTGCGAACCGTGAGTCTCTTTATAGCTGCTTTGACAGCGAGATGAAGCCGCGGGCTGTTCTTGTACTAATGGACTGCATGCATGTATCAATTTCAACATATTACAGGATATAAGAGCCGCAATGTCTTGGAGCCTGCATTTAGTAAACATCGTCAATGGACCTGGCGGCTGTTGCTGCCATTGGCCGCAAGCTCTGCCTCGGCCCTATTGTCAAGGTCGCATTTGTTTCGAACCCTCGCCGCAAGATCTTGACAGCGCAAAACGGTCCGGAAGAACATGCAGAGAACCTTCGACAATCTATTTAGGAGATTGCTATTTGCTCAAATATATTGCACTTGATCACGGGGCCCCAGATGGAGGTTTCATGTGGGGCATTTACCCGGTGTTTGCTCGGCGCAAAGAGAGCTTGACTTATACAAGCAGGTGCCCGCCCTTTGCCGTGCTTCTCACAACCAAAAGCCCACCGGGAGCCCGGTTTTTAGTCCGCAGTCGTAGTAGGTCAATACAAGCGTCGAACAAAAGCAATGTGCGGCGGCAAGAAAGAACCAGGTTACCGGGTGAGCAGTCCGACACTCCTAGCATCCGACGCGATGAGACTCCCTCTCGCTGCAATGTGTCATTTCAATGCGCATCTTTTCGCGTGCGCTCGTCGCAGTAAGTTCCAAGTACCAAGTGCTCGGCTCAAGCTTCTTCTGTTCTGCCTCGCGTTGTACAGAACGGATCGCTGGCTATGGCTATACTTCTCCGGCACCATCTTCCATCAGTCTTCTTCTACGACCATCTTTGACTTCTAGTACTCGTCGCACGGCTCCTGAAGATAGTCAGTCTTTACATTCATTGATGAACGGTCTTGATGCCGTCGTCCACGACGATCAGTTTATCGCTGGCCTTGCCGCAGCCATGGAGCAACGAATGACTCGGTCGCGGCTGCTCATTCATCTTCGTCGATCTGATGTTTCGTGAGCCCGAAACATCCCTACGGAACCTTGAGCAGCCTTCACCCCGCTCTTGCCATGGCAGCTATCATGGCAGCTATCATGGCAGCTATCATGGCAGCTGTCATATCTTCTATCAGGCACACCATACCCAGCTCTTTCATTACTCCTACGACATCGGTCAGATTCTTCCGACTCTCTTGGAAAGTGGATTCACAAGACAACCGTTGTCAATGCGTCTGGCTGACAGCGCATTCAAACGGAGCTTTCGTCCCGCCTGGGACGACGTAAGCTTGGTGTCTGCTCGCGGTGAGTAGGACAAGATGTGAGCGCGCTCATCAATTTCTTCTCGAACAAGCACCTCGGCAGTGGTCGGATATGAGCAGCCTCCGGAAGTCGGCTAGGAAGTTGGGGTATGTTTGGCTGCCAACTTTTGACAAGTAAACATTGTCGCGGAGTCTAGCCCAAGTGTGTGGCTGTCGTTGCCCTGTTGGGTCAGTCCCGCTATCGGGATTTTAGTCATGTGGGCCACCTCAACTGGTGAAACTCACAAGGAGCAGCCCTGCGCCGGAGTAGCGCCGACGGAAGCTCTAACACCCTTTGCGTTGCCATTTCCGCATGCCAAATCCAGGCACCTTGGCTAAGGCCCCTAGTTCTCCGCATTTGCCAACGTTGACGGAATTGCCGTCCCGGTATCGATTGTGGCGCCACCATCTCCAGATGGTCCAACAGGATTGAACGGCGAGACACCATAGTTTCGACGCGAACCTCGAGCAAGAAAGCAAAGTCATCAACATTGCTTATGACAA